ATAGGATATTGTTAATTTTTTTTAATATACAGAGGGGGTACCCCCCAAACTGAAATTGTGCTGGGAGGAGTGGAGTTTTTGTGGTACACATTCCCCCCCCTCCCCTGAGGCGAGCATCGAACAACTCACTCTGAGTGCACCCAGTGGCATCGGCTGGGAAGGTTGTCTCTGGTCACAGTGACTTTTTTCATAAAAGCAGTTTCACTCGAACTTTGTTTTTTGTGATGGCCGATTTAAAAGAACAGTGTGCAGCTATGAAATTTTGTTTCCTGCTCAGAAACAATGCTGCAGAAACTGTTGTGCTGTACACAGCTTACTTAAGGACAGCGCTGTGGGAAAAACTCAAGTTTATGAGTGGTTTTTTCATTTCAAAAAAGTGAAATGTCGACTGATGACAAATCTTGTTCTGGATGTCCGGCCACTTCCCAAATGGATGAAAATGTCAACTCTTAGTGCATTTGGAGTTCGTTCCACCAGGTCTGACTGTTAATAAAACGTTCTATTTAGAAGTTCTGGAAAGAGTGCGTAACGGTGTGCAACAAAAAAGGCCTGGTGTGTGGCAGAGCGGGGACTGGTTTCGCCACCATGACAATGCACTTGCTCACGTAACCATCTCAGCACGCCAGTTTTTGGCAAAAAAACAGCATGCCTCTCTGTCTTGCCCTACGCACCTGATTCGTCTGCTCTTGCTCCGTGTGACTTTTTGTTTCCTAGAATGGAGAGGGACATGAAAGGACAGCGATTTGACGACATAGAAGAGGTGAGGAAGAACTCCTGGGAGGTGCTGACAGCCATCCAAACAATGAGTTTTAAAAAACGTTTACAAGAATGGAATCTCAGATTTGACAAACGTATTGTGTCATGGGGAGTACTTTGAAGGTTATAAGGTGGTTTTGTAAAAAATCATTAAGCCATAGCTTTGGGGAGGGGGGAATTCCGTTTGCTAGGGGGCACCCCCTTGTATGTAATGTTTCTTTTATTAAAAAATTCCTCCAGATCCCTTATTCCTCACAGCAAAATAGTGGTTTGAATGACTTTTTTAAAAGGAGGAAACGTGATACTGAAATAGACTTGGTGTCTTTAGTGACAAACAAGATCTCAGAGAAAGGGAAAAAAAATAAGAACTGAACATTTTAAAAGAAAGGTCCTCATGAACTCATTTATAAAGCTATAAAATATTAAAAAAGAAAGGTCATCCCCAGAGGCAGCCTGGTCCAGGCAGCTCTCGGGATGGTTCTCCTTAGCACTGATGTGGGGAGTGAAGCATCTCTTCTCTAGAGCAGTGGTTCTCAACCTTCCTAATGCCGAGGTCCTTTAATACAGTTCCTCATGTTGCAGTGACCCCAACCGTAACATTATTTTCGTTGCTATTTCATAACTGTCATTTTGCTACTGCCATGAATCAGGGGACCCCTGTGAAAGGGTCGTTGTCCCCCAAGGGGGGTGCCACCCACAGGCTGAGAACCACTTGTCTGGAGGCACCTCTGAAACCTGTTCAGTATCATCGCATCACCTAAGCCTCCACTGACAGGTGGGTGGGGGCTGCGCATGAGAGGCACCGGTGGGGAATCGAACCTGCGTCTCCCATGTAAAAGACAAGGCTGTCTAGAGGACCCCTAGTGGTGCAGAGGCTAAAGCACGAGGCTGGGGACCAAAAGGTCACCGGTTTGACCCCACTGGCCACTGCTCCAGAAGGAGAAAAGTGGCAGTTGGCTTCCATGGAGATTGACAACCCTGGAAAGTCTATGGGCAGTTCTACTCTGTTGTACAGCGTCCTGTGACTCGGAATTAACTTGGAGACAGTGGGTTTGGGCTTTTTTACTTTCTCTCTGGCCCATAGATCCTCTAAAGGGTCTAAACCAGTCCCTTAGGGCATGGGAGTTTACGTTTAATGCATGGGCCCTGGTGGCACTGTGGCTTCAGCACGGGGCTACTAACCACAAGGTCAGGGGTTCGAAGGCTGTCTGATCCTATAGAAACGACAGCTTGAGAAACCCTATCTAAGGAGTTGACTCCCTGTGAGTTGCAGTCAACTCAATGGCAATGGGTTCAAACTGCCAACCCTGAGGTTAGTCGACCAACGCTTACCCCACAGCACCACCAGGGTTCCTATAGGAATCACCCAGATTCAACTTACTGCTATCGAGTTATTCCGAACCGAAAAGACCGGATAGAACTGCCCCTGTGTTTCGGAGGCTGTAGCCCCTTCCAGGAGCAGAAAGCCTTATCTCTCTCCCTCAGACGGGTTGGTGGTTTCAAAGTTATCCCGAACAGCCCAACTCTTAACCCGTAATCGCCTAGGCAGTTTAAAACGAAAACAAATTTGTCTAAGCCCCTCCCCGCGGTTCTGATTTAATAGGACTCAGGTGTGGCCTGGTTTCCGGCCACTTAAAGCTCCCCAGGAGATGCAAATAAGCAACTCAGGTTAGTAACCCGTGCCTAACGGGGATCCTGGGAAGGGCTCGTCTGCGCTCCTGATCCACACACTGGCTTGCAGGTTGGAATCACCTGGGGAGTTTCAAAAATCACTGCCTCCCAGGTCCCAACCGCACGTGCAGTGAGTGGTCTGGATTTCGGAATTAAAGAACAGAACCCCAC